AGAACAAATCCGTTGCAGGCGGATATTTCGAGGTGAGAACTTGTGTTAGTTGTGACGAGCTAAATCTTGCTCTTGACTCTGCATCTGCATCCGAGAAGCATGGTGCAACATGAAAATGGCCCCAGGCGGTCTTCTTCGCAAACGGTAATCCTATGAGTTGGATTCCCAGGCCGTGGACAGAATCTTGCCAGCTTCTATGTCATGAAATCGGGGTTCACTAGCGCAATGAGAGTGCTCAACCCTGCTGTTTGTTCCTCTGTCGAGGTACTCACAAATCTAAACATAGGCAAATTTCGTGCCCAGTTTAGATGGACAGGCCTTATTACATGTTGCTAAAGCGCTGCTAGGCTGGTAAGGCGGTTCAACGAGTAGCCAACTGGCGGCGTAACAATTCGAGGATAATGATAGTCCGAGTTAGTGCCTGTATTTGCACTAAACTGATAACGAGAGACCGCATCCATGTTGAGTACTGACTAAATCATTCTGGAACATGTTCAAAGCTTTGTTATACAATTTTTTTTCAATTTTTTTTTCAGAAGTTTGAAATAAAACAGCCCGAATTTCTCCCCGGAGAATGCAGAAAGGAACCAATTCATTATATGAGGCGTTAGAACATCATCTAAGAAGGTAGGAACTAGTCAAGGTTAGTAATTGAGAAGTTTGTCTTGTAGTGGAAGGTGCGATGGATCAAACATGCAGGGATGACCGCCAACGAACCACTAACAGTTAGTAGGTGGAAGGCGACAAAACGGGGCCGCTGAATGGCGGAGCATCAGGGTACCGTCCGCCTTAGCCAATGGCATTACAAGGCCATGGCTATCGGGGATAAACCAGACCGACTCCAGATAGGGAAGGCGCCCCGTACGTGACAACTTCGCTTCCATGTCAGTCAACTCAATCCTCGACCTCTGCTGGAAGCCAACCACAGCTTCCGCCCACGCCTACTTAGCCCATGCATTCGAAATGGATCTTCCTCCTGAAAAATCCGGGAGATTAGACGTTGCGCGCCTGTCGCTGTTTCCCATCCATCTAGAGTGCGGCCAAGCCGCGGTCTTATCGCGGCCTTTTGCCGTCTGATCCAAGCTTTGACTTGAGTAGCGAACATTTCATCCGCCGTGGCCGTTGCAGCTTTGTTCAAGATCAAGAGCACTATACTGTACGTACGAACGATACTTTAGGATCGGGTTGCCCAGAGGACCGGGACCTGGCTGGGCCTGATGCACGCAAGCCCTTCAGCCTTTGCTGATTTGCCAGTCTTCAGCTTGTATCCCACTGAATTGCAGGCAGCCTTGGCATTCCAAGACAGTCATGACCAGCGTCCTCATTCTGAACATTCAAGACCCCAGATGCAGAAGTCCATGTCGTTTCTGTATTGGCAGCTGCAGCCTGGAAATATATGCGGTCTCTGTCCCTCAGTGCGACACTGACTTGCTTTTTCAACTGCATGGCATCGATTAGCCACTAGCACTGGTGCTGTGCCGATAATCTCTTCACCATTGAGTCCTCTTGAGGGACTCACATGAAGGTTCTTCTTGGACTTTGTATCACTACCTCGCTGCAGTATGATCGTGCCATCTTCAGCCTCAATCAACAAAATGGATAGCAAATGGAAATGTTGATCGACTCCAGAGCCTGGAAACAGCCAAATGTCACATCATACAAAGATCTGGCTGGATTCACGCCGAACGGCCCAAAATCCTTATCCTCAACTGGTGCAAACACATATGTCTGATAACAGGAGTAGCATTCTCAACGGCCGTAGTTCCACCACCCCTTCTGGCTACAACAATACACTGCGGGCCATAGCCGTTGGCATGGAAAACACTCTCAATGGACGGCCCGATCCGACTCAAGGTCAACCCCTCATCTTCGTTTGCCATGTATTCGTTTATTCCTACCGCCGGTCTGATTCTCTTGGCCAACCACGCTCCGGGAGGTAAAGCAATGACATGTTGCTCTCTAAATCAGCCCCCTTGATGCCACAGGCATCAAGCATGCTCCTAGACGCCCATATTGACAGGAAGCGCGATAATGCCGACTTGACCTTGACACGAGTACTGTAGCCTGTATCGGTCAACTTGCACGTTGCTAGGCAGGAACCGACCGATATCGTCATTAAATGGCCCTGGTGACATTTTACTGGCGGACACAAAAGCCCGCAGCCCGCGAGCCCGCGAGCCGACGACCTCTGCCGCGTCGCCTTCTGCACAGATTTATCAGTTCTTGGATCATGATATGGGTATGCGCCGCCCCCTTCTCCTCACTTCGGGTATGGAAAGCTCTCATTGGCTCGTTGATAACCTGCGCATTCACCAACGCCCCCTCGGAACCTCTGGTCATGAAATCGATGGGCCTTTATTTTGACCCGCTCCACATGAGCTTTCGGCATTGCCCTGGTCATCGTATCTAGCCTGCCGCCAATAAACCGTTGGCTGACGGCTCCATAGATTTCGGTCTCCTGCTGTTCAGGGCGTGTTATGCCGCATCCGCGGTGCGTGGAGATGAAACCTTTCTTCGGCCTCACGTGTCGTTGTGTAAGGATAACTAGACCCGTCAGGGCATGAAACATAGCCTGGGCATATGACAGGGGTCCGTCGATCATTCTTCGCCTTACAGGTACTCCAGGAAAGTACAGTATGTCGAGCATTAGTACGTCAAGGCCCAGGCTGCCAGGGTTGAAAACCACCCGGCCATCGAAGCCTGTGTATGGGGGGCTGACAGAAGCGAAAGCTTGAATGATTGAGGTGCCGTGTCAATTGTGGTTGGTCGCTGCCTTGGTCGCTTGGCGATTGTGCTTCTATGCCTCACCGCGCTTGGATGTAAGTAAAAATTCCCGAATACACCTAGGCCAAGTTGTCAATCACTGCGCCAACACCTTTCGGCAGTGGACTGAGCGGTTCTCGCCGTTTCTTTTTCCATGTCAGACCTGGGGTTTTCTTTTGACGCATTTCGACTTCGTATCAGAGACAAGACTGTTCAGAAGTCAGGCACATTTCGATCCAAGTGGCTCGCTTTTGTCACTCCACTGCACAAACCTAGTCTAGTCTGCAGTGTTCCGTCTCTGGCGTCTTTCTTTCGTCAAAGCAAGGCTTTCCCAATCAACGCCTGTGTTTGTGGCGTATCGTAGAAGCATTGGCGGACGGGTGCTTGCATGCTCATGCACTCGTACTGGCGTCTGGAGTGGATAATACTGGTCTTCAGGCTCAGGGCAGCGTCCAAGGCCGTAGCATACTTGAAGCACAAAGACTACAGATGCCACTTTGTTATTTTCTGAGGCTTATCTCTGCGTCCACCAGTCAAGGCGCAATGGCCCAACAGCTAAGTATACAATGAATTGAAAATTATCAATAGAGACTAGCCTCGGCGTATGCATCTTGTTTCCGATGGCCAGTCTCTGCTGCCGTCTTGCGGCCCGTGAGCTAAACCGGGAATACGCCCAAGAAGGGCTCTTTGGAGCTTTGCTTGGTTCAGATGGCGAGAATTATGAAGAAATTGCAGCATAGCCCTGCACTTTTACGCGGGTTCTTGCTTTCAATTGTTACTGTGAGCTCCACTGGTGTTGAGGCTCTCCACAAGAGCTCAGCACTGATGGTTGTTGGACCACGCGATACACCACTCATAAGACCGTGGAAGCAATTTCAACTATACATGAGATATCCAGAAGCCTACCTTGACAATAACGCTGGGGCTTCTGGGCTTCCCATAATTTGCATGTCTACGTCCCGTTGTCTCAGACTCTGCACGACCTCAAATCCTTTTTCATTCGAAGTGCCTGCCCTCCGCCGGTGACCCCGAGTCTGCTGTTATTCCTTCGAAGCTTTCGGCAGACCTTCTGATTAGGACCTTGTTCCTTGCCTTCTTACTTCGCTCTCAATTTTGTGCGACATGTTCTAATAACCATCCCCTGAAGGCTCTGACTCTGACCTCCTCAGTCCATTCCTGTGCGATCCCAAGTCAGCCACCACTACTTGAAATCGAAGCGTGGGTATATAGACGGCCAGATCCTGCACTCGCGCGGTTGTGTCTTGCCTGGAGCTAATATCCCTCTGGTAGCTTGCGCTTTCAACACTGCACTTCCTGTTTGTGACACCATATTCGTTGATCAATACCATCATTCCGACCCAAGCCCGACGAGAGCAACTTATCAACATCCCATTTGTTGAAGGATAAACAGAAACACGACAACGCTCATTCAAGTTAATGAGTAAAGCAAGGGTAAGACACGGCTATTGTTTTCGAGTTCAGCACCGCTGCCCGCTTTCTGTCGTTACCGAATCCATGCACATGCTCGAAGGAATAGCATCAAAATATTGCCATGCGATTAAACCCTTCAATCACCTCTTGTACAAACCCTAGAAGCCTCGAGGGTATCTTGGCATTTGTGGCATCGTCCTGCCGTCGATAAAGACACATGCCATGAGTGATTTCAACAAGAATGGACTACTATTTCGGAGTCCATGGAAGGACAGTGCTGCCAAAATCTTACTAGAATTGATTCGAATGTATGCAATGGGCTTACAGCTCATATCTTGACAACGGCCACTAGATCTTCGAGTCAGTTTGAGCATCCGCTAAGCCCGAAGAATCTTGAGTTTTCTTATTCCCATTTGGCATTCCTGGTCACTCCAAGAGTATGAAAAGAAAGAAACATGAAGCTGACGCAGTCATAGAGTTAGGTTCGAGTAGAAAACGAGAAAAGGGGTGCCGCCGTTTTCACGAGTGATTGACGATTGTTACATTGAGAAAGCTTTCCTCTCAAAGCTCCAGGTAAGTTTCTCAAGATTCGTCGACGCTCTGGTACACGACTCATGGTAACCGATTGTCATCAAAGTGTCGAAGTCCAAGTCGCCAGTCGATTGCATGATCTGTTCGACAAATCCGACCAAAGGGGTGTCCGCTTGATGGTTAACGCCAAGCCATCGATTGAACGTGCGTATGAGTTCTCAAATCCCGAAGGTAAGATACTCTTCGGTACAATTTCTCAATAGCCTTCATTTGGGTCATATGTTATCTATGAAAGATTGGGCGTACAGAGCTCCAAGTTGCCAGCACTTTGCTTCCTCATGGTACGTATCAGAGTTTCGTTGGTCTTCATATTCATCGCCTCTCATCTCATCCATTTCTGGCATATCGGGTAAAGTGGCTACTTCTTCCGTCTGCGTGATACGCGGTACAAGGCCGCAGGCCTGTTCTGCAACTAGCCTTCAATGCATTTTTGTCTTGAGGCGTTTAGTGCAGACCAGTCTGCGGTAGACAAACGCCTCTTTGAGCATTGCCCAAGTCAAAACAAGTCACCAAAGGACCCAGACAAGTGTCCTTCACCGGCATGAAATGAGCAGTGTCATTCGGAATGCATTGTCATGCTCTGCCGTACTCTACATCTCATGCTTCGTGGTTGGTGCACCAAGGCAAGCAGGCCGAAGATCTTGTCCATGGCAAGAACTCTGTCTGAATTCCCGAGTTCCACCAGGTATGATTGCATAGCCTGTGGTCAGGGCGAACCATTCTCATATCAAAAATGAGAAAATTGAACAAACAATACACAGGGCTGTGGGCAAGAAACGGAGAATCACATAATAGCAAATGACCTTGACTGACACAAACTCAAGGATCCCGTCGAACACACGAGTTTGTAATGAATCTCCGGTTATTTACTCGACGCTGGAACTATGTTATGATCGAAGCAAGGAATTTAACGGCCCCCATAAAAACCATCGAGGCTGATTAGAACTTGGCATCAGTGTTGCAATCAAGTGCTAATAGAAAGTTTGTCGGATAGGAATACGAATCTTCGACGCCCACCATGGGCTACATGGATATGGCAACGCACACCGGAGAGATGAGGTTAGTCGTTATTTTCGTTAACTCTCCCTTGCTTTCGTTATCGCGTGCTCATATCAGGCATTGCTGGATGCCTTTCTATCATATTTGCAGAATGGCCATATATTCATGCATCTTGTAATCTATTGCTATAACCCTTTATGGTGCGAAATCTTTTGATCCCCTCCTTTTTCAGTTATTTGTTTTTATAGTGGTGTTCTATTCTTTTGTTCTGTTCTGTTTTGTTTTGTTATTTTCCCTTCAAGATAGTGAGTGATTTGGGTTATTCGCGAGTTGCGAGCTAGGAAATGGGTCTGTTGTCATCAGCCCAACCAAACCAGACTACTTTTACTATATACCCATGTCGATGACGGCAATGGTCAAGTATCAGTTCCCTATTCACTTACTACCTTTACCTACCTTTGAGGTTGCATTTTACTACACGTCGCAATTGCCGTTTCTCACGCATCACTTCAGCTGTGATTATGGCTAGCCTCAGTCTTGGTGGCGTCTTTAACAAGTCGTAATAGACAACTCGGGCGTGGGCAATTTACTATCTCTCGCTACCCTTGGCCGCCGCTACCGAACCACCCCTGTCGTTTATTTTCTTGTCCACTATCCATGTCTTGTACCGCCACCTGCAGTTCATTTAGCTTTGATCATCTTTGTCTCTTTTCTCTAGCATCCTGGCCAGATTTGTGAAACCATGGAATAAGGACGGATTTTACACGCGATCGATCACCTTATTTGCTGCTTGGGCTTTTCGGCGCTTCAAGTTCATTTTGCTTTTTCTTTTCTTTTTTTCGAGTGGATTTCAGAATATTGCAGGGTTTCATCACGACCTGGTTGGGATTGTTAGCAGCGAGTGCAGCCTTGTTGCCAACGATTTTATTGTCACACATTCCAATCCCCGTCGTTTAATCATTACGCAACATCCTCACCCAGCTCCCCTCTCTGAGCTCTTCAACTGTGTTCCCCATTACTGCCCAAGGAGACAACACCTGCGACGTTTATTCGTCTCTCCGAAGTTCCTAAGTCGGTCAGTGACGGTATTCGTCTCACAGGCTCTCGGTGCTTGCTTGCCGGCAGCCCGTTAATTCGGATCCCTCTCGGTGGCTTGGTCAAATCGCAATGGATAACTAGGTATTCTGGCTGTCTTTGTTCGACACAGACACCCGGGTGTGGCTTTCGCTACCTTACTCGGATCCTAGTGCCTAGTATCCTTTCCCTCCCCATCCAACCCGCTCACTGGCTGCTCTATTATTACCTTGTTCGCGATTCTGCTTACTGCTACTCCCTACCTGCTCTTTCCGTCCTTTCACACGCCCACTCATTATACTGCACTGCGCTGCACTGCATCTATTACCTGCCTCTACATCCCACATCCACTGCACGCCGCCCCGTGTCAACGCTCAGTGCCGGCCGGTGTCAGTCAGTGTTAGTGCCAGTGCCGTAAGCTGCTGCATAGGCTGCGAGGGCAGCCTCTCGAAACTGCTCGGCAGGCTTTGTGGCACATTAACGGCCGACGGTATTACCTGACGTGCGCCTCAAGCTGTGACACGGGGAACACTGTATTTTCAGGACATGGCAATACAGCATCTTTGTGGCCGCCTCTTTTGCCGTTGTCACTACCACTTCCAACTGCCAGTGCCGTGCAGTTGCTGTTGCCTACCTATTCACTCAAAATTATCTCTTTCTCCTTTTTCTGCTGCTTCTGCTCTCTGGTCAGCCTGAGGCCGTTTTGCTGATGAGGCGCCAGATACCCACAAGAGACCAGTACTTCTCTGACGATAGAGCCCTCCCAGCCCTCGTCGCTCTTAAACCTGTTCCATCCGCCAGTTCTCAGCTCCACCGCGCAGTACCCCCAGGACGGAAGTGCCTTTTTCCAGTCACAACCTACTGGTCATCACCATCTGTATCCGGGTATAGACGTCCGCTCTCGCCTGGGCTCCAAGTAAGTCGTCTTTCACTTTATCGTTTTTCAGCTCTGTAGCCTCTATTTGCTCCCCCCGTCACCTTCAACATTTTAAGGTGGAGATCACGTTGCAATTGCATACTTGCCTTTATCCTTGACTATTACCCAATCTTCGTCTTCCATACTTTCTTCCAACACAGCACCTTTGGGCTGTGTTTGATATGGCATTCACGAACAAGAAGCTCTTCCTAGTTGTGCAAAGCAGAAACTGACTGCCAACGATAGCACGACGTCCACGACGGGGATGGCATATCCCTATCCCCCTTCACATCGCACCCCAGGCCTTCCGCACCCTGGTCCCCAGATTAGTGCTCGAGAGCAGTACACCTCTGCAACGCCGGGGTTTAGGAGGCCTTCCGAGCATTCAGGGAGATCACCTTCTTTTGCCACGCAACCAAGAGGAAGACACCCTCTATCACCAACTACAAGTCCAAGCACAGCGTTCTCGGCTCCAAGCATGGGCTCGAGCGGGTACGGCAACAGGCCTACAGGGAACCATATCCCCCCCCTGCACGGTGTTCATATGATGGGAAGTCTCCAATACAACGATGGTGCAGGAACTCCTGTCAAGGTCGAAGTCAACGGGACAATTGACAAGGGTTTCTTCCTTTCAGAGAACGAATGGACATGCTACCGAAGGAACTACTTTTCGTGCATTTGTTCCTATTCATTGAGCCCTCACATACCTAGCGTCTCCATCCAGTATACCGCGACTGGTTCAACACAGCCAGTTCAGGTGTACGGATTCGCCATGTCCATCTCAGCCGTCGTCTCTGATAACGAGTCACACAACATTGAGTTGGTGCAGCACACACCAAAGAGAGACAAAGGACCCATAATGAAGCCCGAAAAGGTTCGCCTGGGCAGCAAGCCCCGCGAAGCTAGTCACCACCACCACATGGGCATGTTTACAGACTCAGTCGTATCCAACCGTCCTGTTTACCCCGACAATTTCAGCAATCAACCCGGCGGTCAGCAACTGCCTACAGAGCATACGTTCGAGCGAATTCAATTCAAGCAAGCCACGCAGAACAATGGGAAACGAAGGGCTGCTCAACAGTACTACCAACTGGTCGTCGAACTATGGGGTGATGTTGGGACCCAAGGTGGTGGCGGCGACCAGTTCGTCAAGATAGCCACACGCAAATCTGCAAAAATGATCGTCCGGGGGCGGTCGCCAGGACACTATCAGAACGACAGGCGGGGAAGCCAAAGCAGTGGTCCGGGTGGATCTTCGGGCAACCTGGGAGGATACACTGTCGGCGGCATGGCTGACTTCAACACTTCCATGATGGGTGGACCGAGCTACGCAACTGGTGGGTTCGATGCCCGTAACAGCCTCTACAGCGTTCGTCACCACGACATACCGCCCGAATCGATGATTCCCCAAGAGGATTCCAAGGCGATTGGTACGACTCGAGAATATCAGTATTATCCAGGGCCCATGTACGAAGGGCAAAACGACAGGATTGACTTGTTCAACCCTCGAACTGATCGGGATAATGTCGTATCGCATATGGCTACGAGTATGATGGTGAGCAGCAAGATCAAGCCGGATTATGACGGCGCTGCCCTCCCCAGTATCTTCCATCCACCAGCGCAAATGAATGATCGCCCGCCAGGACCCTTCGAAGGCAAATCCACATCGAGCGGCTACTATCCAATCCCCTCCTCGGGTATCAACATGACCATGACATAGCCAGTGCTGTCGTACATCGCTCTTGGAGACTATTAGGTCGTGTCCGTCAATTTTGAGCGAACGGGTGAGCACGAGACGAAACGCTACAAGGAGCAGGGAACGCTACAGGTCGTATCAAGGCGTTGGGGAATCAGCATCGGTCAAGCCTGTGGGCACTACAGAAAAGGAGATAAACGAATAAAGAGGCGATATTGCGTCAATACTATCGGCAAAGGTGCGAAAAGAGGCATTCGTATGGCATTAGCATTATTAGTACGGGGTTCGGATTATGGTTTTCTCAAATCTTTCGTTCGTTAGATGAGGGGGTGGGCATTCCACCAAGGAAATGGCTTCAGGGCATGGCAAGGTGGACGGAAAAGGAGAAAAAGAGTGAAGCATAACGACGTGTACGACTTGGAGCTAGGAACCTGACGTTTGATATGTTGAGGACAAGCAAAAACAACAAGGCGAGAATGTACGAGACAGAAGATCAGCGGCAGCGGCAACAAAACTGAGGTGAGAGATGAAAAGCCAAAGGCTGTGAGCTCGTTTGGGGGTTCGGTATTTGTTTGTTTTCTTGCTGAAGAAGGATACCCGGGGTCGCGTGCATTTCTTTTACTTTTACTTCTACTTCTTGTGGTCCATTTTCTCATGGACTTGACTTTTGTATTGAATGCAGTTGTCTTCTTCGTCTCCTGTCTCTTGTTGTCCTATCCTGATTGAAGTCCAGCCGCCTCCCGGCAGGCTGTGGGCGTATCACATTCGATGAAGAGACAACAAGGCAAGACTATGTATCGCCTGGCCCAGGGCATTTGTCCTGGTCAGGCAATTACCTATGTAACTTAATGGATGGTAAATGGCGTTAGGGACACTAGCAGAGATGGGGGTAATAGGGTTAAGGGATTTGCATATGCAGTTGAATGAAAGATTGCCATCGATTGGCCCCGATGACAGACAGTATCATACATGCTCTAACTCGCGGTTGAATGAAAGCCGGCTTACTAGATAAGAATAGACGTGAGACTAGACTAGGGTACCCATTGTACAGCACGACACAACCCAAGACGAATCTGCATGCAGGGTCTTGAGCTTAGGTAGAGATGGGTAGATTAGCACGTGTCTCGGAACTTTGATCCGTGCCTAGAATGGACGCGTTGAGCTAGTCAGGGTTTTACTTTCGTCTTTGTCTTGAAGTCTGTCTTGTTTTTCTCTTGACTTGACGTGAAGTGACTCGACTTGTTGGATTTTCCTTGAGCCGACTGCGACAGAAGGAATGAGACCATGTTGGGGGTGTGGACTTGAACCTGGTATTGAGTGGATGATTCGCAACCATGTCTCTTTCTGGCGACAACAGGAAAGAGACTCAACCAAGCCTCAAAATGAAGAGGAGGGATTCAGTCGCCTTGTTGTGATAGCCAACGACATGCTTGGTTTTGACACTGACAAGGAGTGCAGGATACGGTAGTGCCCGATACCCTTGTCATGTTTTTCCTTACTGGGTCAAGCCAACCTTGCTCCCTACACCACACACATCTCAATCTTATTCAAAGGTACGATGCATGCATGTGCTTGAATGTGAGAGAAGCAAAAGTACATTGCATTACAGCATTGTTCAGCAGCGAGTAAGGCCTACCTGGTCTAGACCTCTGGATTGGGCTAAAGCTGAGGGCTGGGGGCTAGGGCTCTAGGCTTTTGGGTTAGATTAAGGTTATCCCAAGGACGCTAAACACGTTTTACGAACGGGAAGGGGACGGACCGCTACGGTACGAGGCTCTAAGTACCTTTGACGTTGTAATCTAAGTTAATTTGGTTAGTATTGAACTTGACCAGAGTTGGCTAACTGCTCCATTGATGGAAATAAACATGGACTGAACACGACATGTCGGGGACAGAGCGGGTGTAAGCAAGCGGTTTATTAAACCACCATTTTTAAGATTTGATGGCAAAGCCTCTTCAACACAAAGATCCATAGAACGCATGCAAAATGATGGAATGGCATTGATTAAAATGGAAATGATCAACAATAGCGAAAAAGCATGTTGGTGTAGAGATGTAATGTATGCACAAGGATCGGCGTTGCCTATTGAGAGCGAAAGAGAGAGAGTGTAGATATGTATTTCTTTTTTCACTTTCTCTTTTGGCTTGGTCTATAGAGTGGAGTCGACTCGGAAAATTATCTAACTGCCTAGTTACAGACAAGACAAGAACAAAAGAGTGACATGCAATGTCGCAGGTACAGTACAGGCGAGCTAAAGTGAGTCTTTGGTATGGATTACAAGAGGTCGGATGCATGTTCAGGTACAATGTTGAAGAGCTGTTGGCTCAGGCTCGTTGGATGAAAATCAAACCACGTATGTGCTACGTACAGTACAAGGTATGTGTGTGTACGTGCGCGCCAGACAAGGGTAGGTAATAAGAGAATGCCACTTTGGATTGACGAGGTCTTATTGCCGAAAGCCTATTTCTATTATTAATCTTCAATTTGTATCGTGTGCACCAGATACTAGGTGAAGCTAATCTCGCATTCGGTGTGAGAAGCTAGAGGTCTAGGTACGAAAGCAGAAGACGATGGAAGATCGATCAAGCCCCAGGTTTCATTGCTACGTCACTCAACAGGTGACAGGTGCAGATGCGGGAAGGAGGGAGGGAGGATCGATAGCCTTTTGAGTTTTGTTGGGTTCGAAACGATAGCCTACTGCAATATTAGTGCAGTGCATCATCAACAACACCATCACCAAGACTGGAGACCTCATTGCCACTTCAGCTATCGTATTTACTTCTTTCCTTTTCTTTTTTCTTCTTTTCTCTTCTCACACATACGCATATAAGCATGGTACTTTCCCTACAAGGCAATCCACCCCCACCTCCATGTCGCCGAGTACCCGGTCGATGCATCCACCGAGAGCGGACAATTTCTGCAAGCCTCCATCTCCCCGTGCCGCACAACATGATACGTATGCGTGTGTATGTGGCGCGGGCGACCATCAGAGGCCGAAGAGACGAGGGCGCGAGTTCCTTTGAGTCCCATGTTGCGTCTAGATTCATTCCATTGTCCTCGCCTTTTTTTCCCCTATCTTTCGGCCTCGGCCTCGCGCTTAACCAAGACTCGTCTCTGATTCACTACTTAAGCGAGAATCAAATACTTGAGAGAGCTTCGACCAACAGAGAGAGAGGGAGATTCATGCAACATTCTTTCAGCCCTTCTTGGTTAACACGTAGGTTTGGCAGCGATACACACACATATACGTGCATGTCGACAAAGAAGAAAAGAAGAGACGGGAAGAAAAAGCAAACCATGCGAGTCAGAACAAGGTCCAACATGCAGAAAAGGTACAGGCAGAGGAGAACTTTCCGTCAGTCAGCGCCAAGAAATGTTGCCCGACCCTGGATTTGAGGCTCATGCAGGCGACTACACCGGTGAAGGACTGGTCATATCCCTGCTTGTCTCACTTTTGAGATGGCCCACTCATGAGGCCTTCCTCGGACGCCGGTTGAGGGACAAGAAATGCTACCAGCCACAGTCCCCCAGTGCAGCACATTACTGCTGCAGTATGGGGTCGAAAAGAGGGTAAAGGCATGGCTGGGGTCGTGTGACAGGCAGGCAGGCTAGGCGATTCTGATATGTGACAGAACAGCGTAAGACGGACAGTGAAAGTCAGAACGGTCAGAGTAAGTAAGAAAACAACATGATATGATTCAGGCAAAAGTTGAACATGGTTTGAAATGTTAATATGATGGACCACATCTATCAGTTGGCCTTTTCTTCAGCCTGCACCATTTTTATTTGTCTCCCCTCCTAGATACATTTATGCAACTCGACAACCAACTTGATATTCTACTCACACTAACCAACATTATACTCTCCAGATAGCATCGGCCATCTTTGCGACCATACCCATCTCAGCCGTATCATGTACCCTCACTACGTCCGCACCGCCCTGCACCGCCGCCGCAACTGTCGCCGCCGTTCCCCATGTCCGCTGCGCCGGCTCCGTGACCCCCGTGATCTTCCCGACAAAGGTCTTGCGACTCGAACCCACCAGCCACGGAAGACCTTCCAGCCCGGGCCAGTACCGTAGCTCCTCAAGCCTCCGCAAGATCTCAAGGTTCTGCTCTCCCGTCTTGGCAAAGCCGATACCCGGATCCAGAATCATCCGCCACCGTCGGATGCCCGCTTCCTCTGCCGCTACTACACGGGAGAGAAGTTCAGATGCTAGGGTAGGGATCAAACCTTCAGGATACGAGGTCAATTTTGTCATGGTCAGCGGTGTGCCGCGCATGTGCATCAGACAAATCGTCTTTTGAAGGCGGGCAACGGTAGAGAGCATGTCCGGGTCGAGCATGCCAGCGGATACGTCGTTAATAATATCTGCGCCGCTGGCAATAGCTTGCTCTGCGACGGACGCACGATACGTGTCGATGCTGATAGCCACCTCACGAGCTTCTGGGATCGAGCGGATGAGCTCAACAGCGGGCACAACGCGAGATGCTTCCTCCTCAGCCGAAACCTCTGGCCGGCCAGGAGCAGTAGACTGGCCGCCAATATCGATAATAGATGTTCCGTTGTTGACCATGTTCACGATGGTCTGTGCGAGGTTATCCCGATCATGACGACCTCCGTCTGAAAATGAGTCCGGAGTTAAGTTGAGAATACCCATGACATGAGTTTTCCTTTTACTAGCTAGAGGCGTCAAAGAGCCTGCCTTTGCAGAAAGCGGTGTCATGGAAGAGAGGGGCTCGCCCAGAGGCAACTCATTTAGATTATCCTGGATGAGCTTCCATGGTTTTCTCGGATCCAGTGATTTAGCTGGTACAAGTCTGCAAAACTTCGTTAGAAAACCTTGTTCGTATTGATCCGTCATTGTGACACATACTCGGCCAGGGGTCTTAGAACGAATTCCCGCTCCAGTATCCCGATATGGGGAACTTTGAGACGCTCATGGTTGACTGTCTCGTCACCATAGAGAAGAATATCCAGGTCGATGTTACGCGGGCCCTTGTCGATAACCTTTTTACGTCCCATATCGTTCTCGATGGCTTGAAGTTGATCCAGCAGAGCTATAGGTTCCAGTTCTGTCTCAACCTACATGATCGGTCAGCAATTAAGGCGACAAGTATTTTTTGATATACATACCTCACATGCGCCGTTGACAAAGCGATCTTGGTCGGTAACATACATAGGTTCCGTCTCCCAAAGACTACTGGTCCTCTTGACTTTGATTCCGCGACGATCCATCTCGTTGCACGCACGTTCAATCTCGGCAACGCGATCTCCCATATTACTCCCCAACGCAATATACGCAGTCCTCTTGCGCGGCCCACTGCTCTCACAACCACCACCATTGGCGCACGCACAAGCGTTACGTCTTGGTCCAGGCACGGTGTTTTGCGCAGGTGAGCGTGGGCGCACAGCTGCGATGAGAGATGGCTTGAGAGGCCGCGTTGACGTCAATGAGTGTCGCGACACAGTGGCGAAAGCCCGCGAGAAACTAGGAGAAGCATTATGGGGTGTGCTTCTGAGGCTTCGAGCAAGCGTCGGCGATGGAAGGAAGGATTGTCTCATGATGATGTTTCGCTGCTGCTACATCTCGACCCTGAGTCTAGTGTTGAGTGAGTTCGGAAATATTGGAGTGATGCTGCGAAAATTTGCGTTATCAACACGTCGGGTGTGTATATAGTGGCCTTAACGGTCTTGCCTTAGAAGCGAAAGCTTGAAGGAAGTATCGGCCGAGTCTTGCACATGTCGAGTATGGCGATGATTGAGAGGACTCTGACTAATCTTCCATAGGGTCCTTGATCGGGTTGTTGAAGGTTCCTGCTGACTGTTTTTAGATGTGCTTCTTCCATTTGCATGTGGTCGACAATCTTGTCACGAGACTTTTTAGTCTTGCTGACTACACCTTGCCTAGTACGGAGCACATGTCAAAACATGTTGGACAAAACAAGTTACCAAGAGTTCAAATTCTATCAAGTGAAGGGACTTACGATAGCAAGACAAGACTCACAATTTCATCAGATAAATAGACAAGCTTTTCATCTCGACGGAACTAACAGTTCAACCAGCTGCAGACTTGTAAAAGTGTTAACAAGCAGGCATCTTTTTGTCCCGAGGCACCTTCCCCGGATTTAACAAGACACTATCCCTAATGCGGGACAGTTCCAACTTCCCCCTCTCCACAATGACCTTTCTCGTCTCAGGAAGGGAGGACTGACTCCAGACCTCGGCATCGTTGCGACAAACATTGTTCCTGCAGAGCCCCCTCAAAACTTATTCTCAGCTGATCCCTTTTTATACCCCAGATTTCTCTTTTCAAGCGCCTGTTTCTCGTTCTTCATCAATCAACACTGCTTCCATCTCTACGCGCAGTCAGCTCCATTCTGTCGCGACACGATAGCTTCATACAAACGTACAAATAAACAGACAGACACCATGGCCTCACCACGTACGTCATCAACATGATCTTCGGACTCCCCATCAATTAATTGCTAACATGCGTCGCTCACAGAGAAGCTCCGAACTCCCATCACCGATCTTTTCAAGATCAAGCACCCCGTCCTCCTCGCAGGCATGAACGTCGCTGCTGGTCCCAAGCTTGCCGCCGCCGTCTCCAACGCTGGTGGTCTCGGTGTCATTGGTGGTGTCGGCTATACCCCTGACATGTTGCGCGAGCAAATCGCCGAGCTCAAGAGCTTCCTCGACGACAAGAACGCTCCCTTTGGTGTCGACCTGCTTCTTCCCCAGGTTGGCGGTAGCGCTCGCAAGACTAAGTACGTCACATGTCGTCCTCTCCCCACCTTACAGACCCTTGGTTGCAATCGCATAGAGATCCCATCAGTGACTGGCGCTAATGTACGGTTAACAGCTACGACTACACCAAGGGTAAGCTCAACGAGCTAGTCGATATCATCATCGAGGAGGGCGCAAAGCTCTTTGTCTCTGCTGTCGGTGTACCTCCCAAGGCTGTTGTCGATAAGCTTCACGCCAATGGTATCGTCTACATGAACATGATCGGTCACGTCAAGCACGTCCAGAAGTGCCTTGACCTCGGTGTCGATATCATCTGCGCCCAGGGTGGTGAGGGTGGTGGCCACACCGGTGATATCCCCACGACTGTCCTCATCCCCGCTGTTGTGGACATCTGCAAGAAGCACAAGTCCCCTCTCACTGGCGGTCCTGTCCAGGTTATTGCTGCTGGTGGTATCCACAACGGTCAGCTCCTCGCCGCCTCCCTTATGATGGGCGCTGGTGCTGTCTGGGTAGGAACCCGCTTCATTCTCACCGATGAGGCTGGTGCCCCCAAGGCCCACAAGGAAGCCGTTCGCACATCTGGGCATGATGACAACATCCGTACCATCATCTGGACAGGCCGTCCTATGCGTGTCCGCAACAACGACTACATCAACGACTGGGAGACCAACCGCCAGGCGGAGATCAAGGAGCTCGTCTCCAAGGGTGTCATTCCCTACGAGGCCGATCTCGATAAGCTCGCCGAAAGCACCAGCGAGAGCGAAAACGATGACGATGAGGACATTCTTGACAAGTACCGACCTTACCTTATGGGTAAGTGCGCTGCCGTCGTCAACGAGCAGAAGCCTGCCAAGGCCGTCGTTGATGAGTTTGTGGACGACGCCGTTGCTTGGTTGCAAAAGGGCAACAAGATGATTGCCAAGCTGTAAAGCAGCCACGCCATTTACATATAAGATACCTTGTTATTTAGTCATTATTTTGTGATCTATACGTAGATTAGGAGCCGGTCAACACTGAAACTTTGCATATAAAACTCATTGTTATAACATATCCGCTTTCACTCTCGCTGCATACCAGTGTTGCTTTGGTTATTAAATGTCTTGGTCAGCTAGAGATCTGGATCTCCTAAGTGTATATTTCAGCTACCTAATCTTGATACCCCTGCCAAAGTACAGACAGGGTGGATACACGAGGTAACTAGAGTAGCAAGCTATCTTATGCCGCCTGTCTATACCTTCTACATGATGCCTCAATTTACAGGAACGTTCCATCGATAAAACAGGTATTCCTCAATCTATCTAGGTATGCCATGCCAGCCAGCCTTCAACATGACAGAGTTTCTCTGCACAGCATGCTCTCGATTTGCCGATGATTTTGGCGAGGTTGAACAAAAAGGCTGGAGATCTTTTCTCGACATCGCACCTGATTTCCACTCGTTGGCGAAACTAACACAGAGTGGGTGTTCGTTTTGCCAAATTGTCTACCAATCTTGCTGTTATGGTGAAACCGTATCTTATGAGAGGGATACACTTCTCATTCGAGTCGAAGCATTGGCGGGTCATGGTCTCGGCCATGATAGCTACAGTGACTGTGACAGTATCTTCACGGATGGTGAGGAAGATGATAGGCTTTCATTTCGCGACCAATATCCAAGGCAGCTGTATCTTAAAATAACTATTGGCGACAAAGGAGAGGGCCGTTCGCATCATTTGCCTCTAGTAATGGGCGAGTGCTCAGAAAAGTCGACAAATTTATCAAAATCACACGCGGATGAGCCCATTATCAATCTCTGCTCAAGCGAAGGTGTTGATGATGCAGTTGCCTTGGCTAAATACTGGATACTTGAATGTGACCGTTTCCATACCAAATGCAACGATTGTCCATACACCAAACAGCAACCAAAGGTCCTACCCACGAGGATTATAGACGTTGGATCAACCAGCAGAGGGAATCCACCACGGCTATATGTACCCAATCCGCTCGACAATGAGGATGCGGAGTATGCTGCTTTGAGTTACGCCTGGGGTTCCAATCCCACATTTGCGACAACTACAGCATCCAACATTGACGAAATGACACAATGTCTGCCATGGGACAAGCTCGCAAATACTATACAAGAAGCTATCATGTTCACCCGGAAGCTGGGAATTAGATACCTATGGGTTGATGCTTTGTGTATACTGCAAAGTGAAGGCCACGACGATGCATTTCATAAAGCAGATTGGTCTTATGAGGCCAGTCGATTCGGCCAATATTACGAGAACGCTAGATTGACTATTGCAGCAACGGGAGCCGTCTCTTCTGACAAGGGACTATTCCTCCCACGGCCTGCTCTGCTAGTCAATCCGAAGCCAGTTATCTTTCGACAAAAGAAATTTTGGGGCGGAATCAGAGACATCACCGTCCTACCACTGTCTCCAATATGGAATTTCGAAATAGGCAGCTCCCCTCTTCTTTTAAGAGGATGGACATTGCAGGAAAGAGCCCTTTCTAAGAGGGTCTTGCACTTTGGGATGAACTGCATCCTGTGGGAATGTCACGAGTGTCGGGCGATCGAAACCGCGCCACGTCGCTTAGAGCCTGTAACTTCCAAGGATATAAGCAACGACTTCGTCTATGCGTTTAGAAATCTGCAAAACCTGGCGGGGGAAAGTTTTGTGAAGTTGTGGTACAGATTTGCCGGCCGTTATTCAATGCGCAAATTCACCTTTGCCTCGGATAGACTACCAGCCTTGTCCGGAATTGCTGCAAGAGTTCAGGACTGCTTCCAGCAAAAGTATATCGCAGGCTTATGGGCGTCCAATATAACTCAGGGGCTGGCTTGGGCAGTTCCCGGGGTACCCAATCACAAATCTCCAAGTTTGACTGATCTGTCTATGGGCGTTGAATGGAAGACTATGCCCTCAAAGCTCAACATTCCCTCGTGGAGTTGGGCGTCTAGTGATAGACTAATACATATGTTCTTCCACTCCGATGAGTGGACTTCGATGGTTAAAATCAAGAGCTGGACGGTAGAAACGAAGGGTGCGGAAACTTCTGGGCAAGTTGTTCACGGGACGCTACGTCTAAAAGGTCTGTTCCAGATGATAAATTTGGTCGATCTCAGTCCACCATTTAGTAGAGCACAATTTAATCGATATGGATTCGTATATGAGGAAGATCTCGCAAAGCACTTCAGCAATAGGCTCTTTGCTTGTATTCTTCTTGGAACAGAAATTAGGTTTTGGTGGAAAACCCGTGCTACAATTCTTCTAGCAGGTACACTCATACTTCAGCCAACTGGTCAAGGTGTCGATTCGACAGAAGAGTACAGACGTGTTGGATTTCTCAGAGCCCCTTTTAGGGGCCACTGGTCTGAAGTTACCGAAACCAGGACCATTGATCTTGTATAATAAGCAATTCAAAGAATCAACACTTTCACCTTGTATACAGCATGAGTGTAATGGGACCTCAGGCAAGCTTTGTATACAAACAAAGTCTGGTCTCATCACGTATAGAGTTCCATCCTTTGTATTCATCACAAGTCGTACCAATGCATCACAGTGAAGCTAACCAACCTGTAGGGCAGAGTTGCATAAACGAGAGGCCTTCGAGGATCTTCAATACCTTGACTGAGAGCTGAGGTACTGGGAAGTCGACTTGTTGCCGCCAGGTTCTTTCTTTTCTTTAGTTTGATGCATTGTAAATCGTCAATGGTTCATATTCAGTTTTGAATCTAACGGTGGATTTGTTCAAACAACATTCACAGGATGTCTAGGGTAAGAAAGATTCATCCTTGAAGACAATAAAGAATACCAGCATGAGAAACTCTTCTATTTCTGTATGAGATATATAACGAGTAGACAAATGATTATCTTTTATATCGTAAACTAGGAAAACATCAAATCTATTTCATACTAGAGTAACCAAAGCAGTCAACTTTGACTTTGACATCGCATGTACGCCAGCTCCAAAAAGCATCCCGACCCCAGATTCATGCAAAACGCATTGTCCCAATGCGCCGCGCCATATGTTCTACTCGATAACTGGTGATGATCGAGGCAGCGCATGCATCTTCTGGTTCACCGCAACTGCTGCTTTTTCTCCGACAGAAACTCGTTCAAACTTCAAGCTCCATCATGCTCCCATATATTCATCGCGCCCAACGACAGCACCGCTTAGTTTCCAAGGTATGAGCGGATGGCTCCCTGGAGTCGAGTTGACACCTCGCCAGCCATTTGTGTGAGGTTCTCAAGATCGTCACCAGCGGTGATACCAAACTTGCGCACAAAGTCCTTGGCTGCAGACTCGAGGTCGCCGTACTCCTCCTCGGGCTCGTCCTCTGGTCGTCCGAAGTAGGCGTTTGAAGAAATGGCGGTTGCGCCCTCGAAACCTTGAAGTCGGGTCTTGGCCTCGGATTGTTGGCTGGGGTCGAAAGCACCCTTGCCGAAGAACTCGTCGGAAGAAATGCCCTTCTGGGTGCCAAACTTTTCACGGGCATATCGCTCAGAGTCATCTGTTATTCAGTCAGTACTAGGTCCTAAAGCGATTGAGCACTCATGCTTAACTTACCAACATCTTGAGCCCTGACGGGGCCAACGGAACCAAAACCTCCAGCGTTCCTCTTGGGGGCAGAAGAAGCGGCGGCCTTGGGACCACCAATTTGTCCAAAACCCAGACGGTTCACACCCATACCCAGTCGCTCAACCTCGGCATCTGACTTCTGTCGTGTGTGCGACGAGGCGCTTCCACGACTGGAGCTAACAGGAGTGGGAGAGATAATGGCAGCAGCTGATCCGGAGTTCTTGGTGGCGGGGTCCTCCTCGGCATCGGGATCGTAGCCAAGCTTGGCAATGCGATCCGCCTCCTCCTTGGCCTTCCTCTCAGCCTCATCAAAGTCAATGACATCGGCGGTGACCTTCTTTGCGCCGAGCTTGGTGGTCTTCTTGGCACCGAGAACGTTGGCTTTTCGGGGGCCATTGGAAGCGGGCGTCTTGCGGAGAGCGGCGGATGTAGTGATTCGGCTTGCAGCAGGCTTGTTCTCGCCAGTGGAGGTTCGGGAAAGGGGTGAAGCTGTACGGGCGATATCCTTGCCGCTGCCAGAGTTCAAGAAGGGAGAAGGCGTGCGGCCGACAACAGGAGGGGTTCCGGTGCGAGAGATGGGTGGTGTAGGTCTCTTGATAGCAGGCTTGTCCCAGGAAGAGAAGAAATCGTCGTCGGGCTCGCCGGCAGGGGTAGCGGAGCCATTGTCAACAGCGTCGGTGATTACAACTTCAGTGGGATATCTAGACACATGTCAGCTTTGGTAAGGAACATTTGTTGCGGTGCAAAAACATACTCTTGAGCATCTCGCGCAGCACGGCGCTTGAGCTCATCCTTGTACTTTGTCGCAGCGTTGGATTGATACTTGGTCTTGGGGTCTTTGCTGTTCAGCGCCGCGGTGCCACCATTCTGCTGGAAGAACTTGGTAGCAGACTCATTGCCGCCAACCTTCATCACTCGCAGCTGATCCCATTGCCACTCTGTCCCAAATCGTTAGTTCAAGGCGATCTATGTGAAGATGGAAGGGTGTTGGGGTTTACGTACGGTCGAGGTTCGTTGATCGCACAAAAGAGATATGGACACCAAGGTTTCGGTGGTTGGAGGAGCAGTCAAGGCAGAGGTAGATGCCAAAGGGAACAGAGGTCCATGTAGGGTTCTTTTGGCCGCAGTCGAAGCAGATCTAATGGTGAGAGGGCAAAAGTCAATTTGTTGCCACTATCAGCGCGATTAGGTAGGACCAGCGCATACCTTGTTCGCAGGCTTAGTCTTCAACTTCTCAAAGATCTTGAGCGACTGCTGCTTTGTCGCAAGGGAGCTCATATTGACTATTGGGCCGTGATCGGGTGAAGCTGGAGAAGTAACACAAAGAGGAAAGTGATGGACGAGGTTCGATGTTTTATATATGTCCTGAATTGTCTGCGACGTGTCAAAGACAGGAAAGAATTGGTATTGGTCAGGCTCGAAAAAGGGAACAATGGTCGGGTATCCTAAGACTCAGGATCAGAATTAAGGAGAACTGTTGTTCAAGGGCAGTTGTCGATAAGGTGGCATATCGACAAGCACTAGTCCCCATTTGGTCACCCCACCTCGAATTCTGCCCTGGGCGGTGGGGCCGCAACTGCCCATCTAGCTTGAGCTTCCTCATGATGAGCTTCCAACCTTCAAGTCAACAAATTATTGTTACATCACCAGATTGGGGCATTTATACTGGTTAGTACAATGGCTATTGTTGAATCGCCAGGATGAATCCGACGACAAATCTCCTTGTGACCCGGTCCACGGCCTTCCGAGGCGTCCCCACGACACTACGGCCGTTTCTCGCTTCGCGATACTATGCGACCCAGCAAGGTTTAGGAGCTACAGCCCAGGGACCTAAACGACGAGCAGTAACGCCTTTCAATGATAACGGACATGTACCATGGAAACAACTCTCAGTGGCGGAAAAGGCTGCCCGAGCGACGCAACAGAGCTTCAATTTTGGCATGATCCTTGTTGGTCTTGTTCTCACTGTAAGCACCAGCGCATCGCAATTGTGAGAAATGAGCGTCTAATCTTTCCTAGGGTGGTGTGGGATACTTTCTCTGGACCGATGTCTTCTCCCCCGATAGCAAGATCTCCAACTTCAACCGAGCAGTCGACAAGATCAGAAGCGATCCTCGTATCATCGATGCCATGGGCGATTCCAAGAAAATTACAGCACATGGAGACGAGACATTCAACAAGTGGAGGAGGGCGAGACCTGTTGCGTATGTGTATGACATACCCTAGTGTATGTCCATATGCTGACTTTCTTAGTTCCTCGGAAACAACAGATGCGCGCGGAGACCAACATATAATGATGCATTTCTATGTACGTCCGTCGATGACTCGGAACATACTCGTGACTAATAACCTCAGGTTGATGGACCCAAGAATAACGGCATTGCACGACTTCACATGGTCAAGTACCGCGGACACAGCGACTTTGAGTATAAGTATCTGTTTGTCGACGTCAAGGGTCATGAAAGGATCTATCTCGAACATGAAGACACATCAGCCAAGAGTGGCAAGAAATTCAGCATGTTCGGAGTGAAATGGTAAAGGCCCTTTACGACTTGCAAAACCCTGGCTCCCCTCAGGGTATCAGAAGAATTGGCCACTATTGGCACAAGAGACGAAATTATTAGGCAGCTTATGCTATTTTGCTCAGACTTCTTAGGTTGTTAATTTTTGTACCCTGAGACTCGGAGGCCAACTTTTCTGCTACCCACTAGGTTCTTTTCGTCATCGATCAACCCAACGTTGCTCTGGTTAGTATGATTTAAAGAGCCTATTGTATTATATCCTGGTAGTCAGATTCGAGCTGAAAACCACGTGTATTTATAAACTTGTTTTAACTCTTGAGCGTTGGTTACACTCTGCGTTGGGGCAACTGATGAAAAAATCGTGTATTGTTTACCCTTTTATCTCTTAATATCCTGCTTTCACACATCACGCCGTTAAGTTATGGGGGGTAAGATGAAATGAAAGGTTGTGACTATATGTCAACATTTGTATCACTAAGCTGTATTCTATGCGCACCAAAACTTCTTTCTCGCTGCTACATTCACTGAAATGGCTTATAACTAGAATATGTTGCATTGTAATTTGTACAAGTAATGAAGCTACCTACTGCTCACTTCTCTCCATTGAGAGTGTTCGCTGAGGATGCCTCAGGGTAGCAAGATACTTAATCAGGTTCAACGTCAGCGACGACCAGACTAGGCAGTCTTTCACAGGTATCTGAGACTTAGCTCGTACCTTTATTCTCTACGCCCGGAACATCGATATTAAGCTCTTTTCTGTCCCACGATGCGAAGATGGCTCCGGTTCATTTTGACGACTTCTTTCTCACACCCACTTTATATCTGGCATTGTATACTACCAGACACTTCACTGTCTCTGAAATCCCATGGCATGGCAAGTCAGGGTAGAACACTTTTCTCCGATTAAACAATTGAGAACAGGCAGAGGTTCCTTGAGGTTGTGAATAATAAGTGAGAGCCCTCGTGTGGAAAATACAAGCAATAGTCTCCTCATCTCCAATCAAGTCTCACTGCTCTCATTGAAAAATCATCAAAGCATTTCACAGCACATAGCTCCTGATCACTTTGATCGATTTCTATGTACCACAGCCGGATCCTTATCTATGCGTGTGCAAGTTTTACTGTCTTTCATTTCGTTTTCTTAACCCATCCGACTACCATATCCTCGAGGCATGAGATGATGATTCTGTCACCGTAGTCTACTATAGTTATAACGGGCTTAATCGATGTTCTTGAATGATGACTTATATGGCCTGTAGTAGCCGCAACGGGCAAGGGTGATGATCGCGTGCGCAGCGCTCCTCAAACCTTGGTGTTCAGGCATCGAATCAGTGATACATATCCGGATGTCATACAACTCATTCATCTGGCGAGTTTGAGGCCTTTCAATTCATCGGCATTCCATTTCTCACAATCCGAGCTCTCGCGACGCACCTACGTATAAGGTCATCTAAGTCGACCGAGACACAAAATCTATAAGGCTGAAACCACCATACTTCCCATGAATCAACACTGTATGCCTCCAGGGTGATATAGAGTAAGCATTAAACACGTTAAAGATAGATTCCGCCTATAAACTTGAGTCAGAGGCTGGTTATTGTCTCAGACGGATGAAGGCACAGCCATGTCCAGAGTGACTTTAGGTGAGAGGGCTCGAGGGCTAACGGGCACGCATGTATGCCCTCCATTTTGTCTAAGTATCATAATAACGCAACCTTTTCCAACACACCCTCCTTTACCACACATTCCTTCCTGAATAAGTAAAGGAAGAATGTAAAATTCGTCACCCTGGTTTCTATTTTTCTCATACGAAAGGTGAGGACAAGAATTCTCACTTGCCATTGATAGATGATAACGGTATAGGCCCAGGTGAATAGAAACTGTGCCTATGCTACGTCAAGGGTTATCTAGGGGTCGATTCATTCGAATCTTTGTGTCCAGTTGTATGAGCCTGTTATGACCAAACGCACAGCAAGCCTTGCTGTTATTTGCTTGAACCTCTCAGTAGGGCAAGCCAAACTCTCATTGATCAGACATGAAGTTCCCTCCTGTCAAATAAGTCTACTTGGTATTTCCAATGCGAAGCTTATGTGTAACGAGAATTCGTGTCCCCATAGTCGTCTACTAAATGAGCCTCATGTAGGAATTGGTCAGAAAGACACCACTACAATACCGTCTACACGTTTGGTCACATCTCATGAATGTTTTTATCCATGGTAACCGCTTCACATCTTAACACGCCTATCTTGACCCGATTCCTGCCGTCGAGTACTTATCACGCGAGAATCAACAGAGGTCCAACCACCGGAGCTGCATCAAATAATTATGTACATAGATTTCGACGGGTTACCCTACGTGGTAAGTGTACAAGCCTCATCCAGGGTCCCTGGGTTTCCAGCCAGAAGACCCATACCAAGCTTCCTAGGGCATTCTTAACAATAGAATGGCACATATGTTCCAGGTACTACGTTGTGAGTACTGGGGCTTCCAGCCAGGATGATCTCCTAACCCGCACTTAAATGGCTTCAGTCTACGGAACTTCCTCTTGGAGAAAAGTTCATTTGATCAGTGTGGGTGCTTCCCTGATAAAGATGAAGCCATCGTCATTGTCGTTCAGGGTCACGCAGTTTCTTACATCCACACCACAGCGCATTGATCAGCAGTTTCTGGGGAACTAGGCAGGGCGTGTGTTGGAATCTGGGGACCCCAAACAAGGACGCTATCAATCAGTCACCGAGATCGGATCTGCGAGGCTGGTGCCTGTTTTCGCCTCATCTTGAGTTGCCGCCATGTATCTCAGTCTACGCCCAGCGTTAAGCCAAAGACACACGTCCTAGTCGGCAAACTAAGACAGAGACAAATTTATGTCGGTAGTTGAGCTTGCTGTCCTCGGTCCAGCGGCTTTGGCGCTCAGCCTGAGCTCCACGCCTATCATGAGACTCACTGACGTTTTTTCTAGGCGCCATCAAAAGGAAGCTCTTTAAACATGTGGAGTCTCACTAGCCCATTATAGACACTACACAAACACGACTTCTTCCGAGCTCATTCCTCGGCACACCCGTCTTGCTCCGAGCAAAGATTTTCCTCCTCTGAACCCTGAATGTTGAGCTTTTTCTTGGAAACCCCTGCTGAAAACGTGCGTCCTCTTGAATGGTGAATTGTCAGTGTTGGCAGCTTAAATCGTGCGAGGCTAGGTCAAAGAATCAGCTTGCAAGTTGTCTATTAGCTTAGCTATTTCAACCACGATGGACTTTTCCCGAGGACAATAGCTCAACTGTGCGATATGCTACACTGAACCCCTACCGGATAAAAAAGCAGACAACTACTGTCAAGCCAAAAAAGACATTTGATTCAGTATCAATGAGCTTTAGGGTTTCCGTATATCCGAGTGAACTCGCTATTGCGTCTTTGTTGTGATTGCTAAGATAACACAATACCAACGGTGGATGTTGGTTGATTGAAGGATGAGGCTCTCAGGATACAAACGAATTTAATCTTTCTTTGTCATGGCCGCAGCTTCTTATGGCCTAATCCTCCGTCCTATCCGGGCGCTGCTCACAGTAGCCTATTGTCTGTGTAACTCGCTTCGTCTCGAGATGGCAACGTGCCACTTGGCCATCGAGGCTTGATCGATCGTCGACTGCTCTCTTATATGTGCCTATCGTTCCCTTTCAGGTTCCGTTCATCGTCGTTGCCCTGAGGCGACAGCCAACCGTTTGCCGTTTGACGAAAAATATAGCTTATCTTCTTGGCTCA